TTATTCTAGCTCCTGAAAAAAAAAAAAATTAACTGTGTAGGAAAGAGGACATGAAGAGAAACTAAAATGGCAGAAGTCATATCATTAATGAATATAGATACTCTGGGAAAATACCCCAAAAAATGGAAATCATGTTCATGTTGATGTTTTGCTTAAAAGTTTGAGTTTCTGAATTTGGCTGTCAATTCTCTGAAATTGCTCAAATTCTCTTGAAGAATAGAAGCTTTTTTTACTCCTGTATAATAACTTGCATAATTAACTCCACTCGCTAAAAAATATTTTATCAAACATTCTTATGGCTTTTCGTTTAATACAGAGAGATTGCATTTCAAACACATACTTTATAATTCAGAAATACTTGGTTTTATCAACTTTCTTAGTCAAAGGTTTAATTGCATTCTGACCTTTTTAAATTCAGTATCATATATTTAAAAATGGAAGTCCTTTTCAGATGTGAACTATGAGCTTTTATTATTCATAGCTTAGTATGAGATTGTGCAAAAGAATGTATTAATACATTTTGAAATAAAATTGCAATATACATATGCTGAAAAAGAATTGTGGGATTCCACAAAAGTAGTCAAAAGACATACATATTTTAGTACATTCTTTCAATATAAAGATCGCTTTCTAATATTATCAAATTCTAAATTAACAAAAATTGATGTTCCCAAGTTTTACATTTAATACCCATTAAAAATACTTTTTCAAACCATGCCATTAGTATTCATTCTCTCTTAGTGGAAAAAATAAAATACTTCTTATTTGGAAAGACCTTTGAACAATTGTCCAATAACTCAACCAAAGAAGTTGTTTATTTCCAGATCTTAAAAACTACTTTACAAAAGAAATATAAACATTAAATATTTGCAGAAATTTTAAGGCACTAGTATATATACAGTTCTCTTTTTGATTACCAAGAAAGGATAAAAATAAAGGCTTCAAATTAGACAGTAAAATGTTACATTGAGCATACGCTATTTAGCGAAGTCGTCACTGACTACTAGTACATCCACTGAAAGGGGATGAAGAGTCTGGAATTAATTTTGAAATTATTTTTTAAATTTAATTGAAATCAAAGCCAGAAGTTTGTGTAGCGAGTTATGTCTTGTTTTCACAGACATAATTAACAAGTCATTCTCTATATTTACTTTTTCAAAATAACAAAAGGACAACTTCTCTCCAGATTTGAAAACAAACATTAGGAACCCCAAGACAATCAATGTCTTCTTTTTTCAGAAATAAATGCAATTATATCCTCAGAACCACATAATTTTGCTTTGGCATTATCAGAGCTTTTTTGATCCTTTTTTTTCTGTTGATGGTATTCTTTAAAACCAGCTTCAATTTTCTGTTCTTGTCCATAATATAAGTGTATATTATCTTTTCACATTTTTTCTTCCATTAAGTTGAAACAGGTTTATTTAAACTTGCAACGATAGTAAAACTTACCAAGCAGAATGACAGCATTACAGAAATATTCTAACAGATGCCTGTAAAGACTTACTCTGAAAATTCACCAAGAGCACACATCTTCCTACAATGATCTAGTAAGATCTAATTTGCTTTGGTCCCTTTTTTTTTAAGAAAAGACACCAAGATAAACACCATGATTTATCTTCACAGTGCAACTTCTTGTTCATGCTTAGGATTAATTTGGAGCAAGAATGCCTCTTTCTAAATTTAGTGCATTTTGGAAACTATTAAGTGATTGAACAACATAGAAGCACTATTATTTCATAATTAAATATTCAACACATGCAGTTATTCAGAAACAGTTCTATACATTTCCTGAAGTTTAAATTTATATTTCATCTAGGTCTACAACCACAGTTATGCGTAGCCAGCCCTTACAGGTAATTAATCATGGGCTTAAAATTATAGATCTTCAGAACTGTCACAGTATCAATGGTCATTTATGTGAATTTTTTGGTACATATTAAATAAATACAATTAATGTATATTAAAGCATTTCAGATTCACCTATTCTCTCTGAAAATTACTGTATTCTGTCCAGAGTATTGCAACATAATGAATAAGTGTTCAAAGTGTTTAAAAAAAAAATAATGTCTGACAATTACAGTTTTGATTTAGTAATTATAAAAACAAACAAAGAAGCAAATAAAATACAGCTGTGTATTTTGCAGGAAAGAACAAAATCCTGTAGTATTTTCTTTTGCCAGTAAAAAAGTCAGGTTTCTGAGACCCTCATGCATTTTCTCTCATGCACCATTTGATAGACAAACTAACAAGAGTGAAATGAACTATGACATACATTATAACTAAATAGAGCAAAACCACTGCTCTCAACATAAAACACTGATACTGGTAATTACAGCAGGATTAAAATATCACTGTTACCATTCATTTCTTATTTTTATCTTCCATTTGATCATGATTCATTCAAGTAAGTATACTTCAGCCAAGCTTTTATAGGACATTTGCATCGACACATTTCATAAGTAAAATATCTTTTCAACTGTCATGAATTTAACAGTATTGAGTAAATATATTACTAAAAAGTTAAATTCTTTAATTAGATGTACAACTAATACACTGATGAAAATTAGCCATTAGATGTCTTTTGAGTAGTGCAACTATGTCCTTAAAACAAGTGAAAAATAGAGACCTTACTTTATCTGTACCTTTAAGTATCAGCTAAGGATGGACAATATTACCACCTTTTTGCAGCTCTGGGCAACCTCTAAGACTTCAGAAGGTATCTAGTGCAGAGTTTGAACTGGAAAGTGCAGTTTGCCTGTTTTGTGTACTTAAACTGCATAGTAATCAATGACAGTTGCATGTCAAACTAAACAATAGCCTCAAGTAACTTCTACCTCAGTGTTACTGAGTGCCTGCCTGCCACAGAACTCAGGATTGATTTGTGACTAAATTGAGTGGCATGGAATAAGGGAAATAAGGTTGAATCTGAACATGCACTAATATAGGAATGGAATAGTCCACTTCTGTGCTGCTTACTTACATTCATGCTGAAGTTGTGATTTTTTTTCAAAAGAAAGGATTAGAAGAATAGCAAAAATAACTCCTGCATGACATCTCAGTCCTACACTGCACTAGCTAAAAGCCAGTGTTTTACTGCAGTAGGTGGACATTAGGTCTAGAAGATGCAAAGTGTGTTAAGAAAAAATACACGCTGGATCTTTGACTAGACACTCTGCTGTTGTGATGACTGTTCAAGGCAGTATGTTTTCAAACAATTAAAACTACCAGATATAGAAATCAAACACTTTAGCATGTGGTTGGAAGGGTTGCAGATAAATTAGCAAGATGGAGTGATCCATAAGAATCATCAAATACAACTCCTTTCTTCTCACAGGACTACCTAAATCTGAATCATGTGACTAAGAGTGTTGTCCAGAAACTAAAAAGCTTGGTGCCATGACCATTTCCCTGGGGAATATGTTCCAGTGACCAACCACCCTCTCAATGAAAAACCTTTTGCTAATGTCTCATCTGAACTTATGCAGCTCCATTTAATTTCCTGATGTCCTAAGTCAACTAGGCAGTCACTAGCATCATCTAGTGGAATGCCAGTCCAGTAGTATTTCTGTACCTCTCAGTCTGGTTTTGAGAAATTAGAAATTAAAAAGCCTAAAGATGAAAGTTAAATTGTGCAGATTTTTTTGCAGTTACTTGAAAATCACCTTTGGGTCTTACCTGGTGATGAAAGATCAGAGTGCAGGCTTAAATTGTAAGCCTGTGAGTTCTAGTCCAGCAAGGGAATTTCTAGTGTTGCCTGAAGCCAAATTACACTGGAATCTTATCTTGATGGTGGGTAGAGTCATTTGGGACAGAGATTCCCTTTGCTGCAAGAACTACTAATTGTTCCTCGTGCTGATTCAAAACCTCTATAGGCAACAAAATAGTAGCACAAATCTTTCTTCTGTATTTCAATAAGCAAAAGAGCTACCTTAAAAATTTAGTTACTATAAAATATTGTACTACTTACCACACTACAGAGCCAATCCTGTTTGCTTCACTACAAGCAGAATCAATTATAAGATTGTAAAATTCCTCCTTTTAGTGTTGACTTAACATAGCTTTACATTTAAATATGGTATCATGTTTTTGACATTCTAAAAATCTGACACATTTTGTTCATGCATATCATGTTCATTTTCTGTAATTAACATGGCTTCCAGCAAAATCTCTTTCTAGTCCAATAAATGAGACAAAAATTAAAAAAATAATTCATGTTAACAAAAATAATTAAATAGTAGGAGCAGGTTAAAGATCAGCATTCATTTTTTAAATTAAGTTTAAAAGTCTGCAGTAGTTACTTAGAAGATTGGCAAGTTTTCCAAATAACATACCAAGCATTTTAGAGAGAAACACAGCTGCATTAGAATAGAGTCATTAGGCAATACATTTATTTTGAAGCCAATTAACCTTTTGTCAGAGAAATGTCGGAGCTGTAATGGTTTCAGCAGCGGAGGTCAGCCTGTAACAGAGGCACGTATGACAGCGATTACGCTGTCTGACATATGCTGGAGACTCAGAGTACAGCCGTGGAATGAGAATCTGCCTTCGTTTGTATTCTGCTCTGCATTTTCAGGGAGCAGACAATCTTGACCTATCCATTTAGGTAATTAAAGCTTCTATTTGGAAGTGTCCTGCAGGAAGGTGAAATCTGGGGGAGATAAATGGCTGCTGTTCGTTGTATCCAGCCACTTCCATCATTTGATGGACTGCCTGAAACACGCTGTATTGCCAAGTCCTCATAAAAATAGAGATAAATTGGGCAGGAGACAATTCTCTAAGGCAAAGCAACTCTGTCATCTTCCTTTTTGCAGCATCTCATTTAATTGTTAGCCAAGGCAGACAGCTGACTCAGGGGCCTTTCTCTAATGACTTTCCCACCATATTCCATTTGTTAAGAAATTATTTCAGTGTATTTACTTGCAAGCTAACTTTGTTGGACAATGAGAGATGTCACTTAAATAAGCTCAGCTGGTTGTCACAGCTGTGCCAGGACTTACCTTCCAGGCGATTCTGTTTCCTACAGACTCATGCTGAACAGCAATGGGAAAGTCTCCTCTCTCATAAAACTTGCGAAAAGCTGTGTGTTTTGCTGGTCTTTGTTTTACTGATCCTGCAGGTGGGGGCCCTCTTACCTTAAAAAGAAAAAATAAAACAACAAAACAAAAAAACCCCACAGTTTAGTGGCAATATATTTTTAGAAAAAGCCTATAGCCTGGCTTAAAATAGGTATAAAAGAAGAATAATAGTGATCTCCCAAATTATAGTTTGCTTTCTTCTTTACATGTTAAACTTCACTTCTTTAAAATTACACTTTGGTAATGACTGGTCAACTTTTTTTTTTTTTTTTTTTTTTTTGCCACTTTCAGAGTATCCCATAAAAACTGTCTATATTTTAAAGTAGATCTTTCTATTATCACAGCATTTTAAAGCAAAAAGAAAACACCAAGAAGGTAGTGACATTACATAGTAGAATTGTTGGGAAATTAAGTATTTCTCCTTTTTCTGTTTCTTTCTAGAAGTAATTTGACTTGATTTACAACTAATATTACTGTTTGCCCCTTCCACTGTATTTCACTAGTCATTAGGTAATGAGATTAGGTAATCTCTTTTAGCACATCCCTTCCCTGAATGCTATGGATTTGGCTTTCATATGACTTCCAGTCCTTAAATAGTGATGGCTGAAGAACTGGAAAGAATGAAGACCTTTCTCATCTGCCTGTGAGGAAATTTGATTTAGCTCCACTTTGCTCTTATCTGAGCTATTGTTGGTTTAGCATATGGCATAGTCTGAATGACATACCAATTCCAAAATGCTCATGCTGGAATCTTTTTCTCAAATGTGGTAGTAACAGCAACTAACAATTGGCACTATGATAATAGAATTTCAAATACTTAAAAGAAATCTATTCTTTAAGCTAATTAACAAAGCTAATCTCAAGTGCTAAGAGAGTCTAAGAGAGCTAAACTAATCTCAAATGCCCTTGACAACTGATTCTTCACTGTGAAACTCCATAGCTGTACATCTGGGATAAGAACTTCCTACAATTCTCTGCATGTTTCTTTTGTCAAAAATGCTAGAATGTGTCATTTAAAAAGGAAAAAAAAAAAAAAAAAAGGTGAGAGCTTCAATGATCCTAAACCATACCCAGTATTTGGTTTTATTCTATTTGTCTTCAGTGACCCTTACATTAGTTTCTAGCAGACATCCAGCTTGCCAGTGAACAGAATGTAAATTTCTAACATTCTCTTTTTCATTTGGGCTCTTCTGTAATTTAACTCTGCTAACTACAGATCTAAATTTGACTATAGATCTAATTTTTTACTTGATCTAAATTTTACTTTATTCCCCCAAAATGTTTTCACATAATTTTCTACTGACCTAGGTAAAGGAGTCCACTATTGATATGCCAACACTCTACTTTTCTACAAATTGCTTCAACTAGGGCTACTAAACTGTGACCTGTTGTTGCATATTGCTGTCCCTGATAGATCATGTCCAGTGAAAATGGATTTGATATGCAGAGCTGTAACTTCATTTAGTAAACACATCTGTAGCAGTTGAGAGTAATACTCAAAGAAAAGCATTTTTTTACCAATGTAAATAAACCTCCACTTGCTGTTCTGCAGAGGAAAAGTTTGTTCTATGCCACCAATGTAAGTACTTTCACTTGGTTTTTTGTGGGTTGTTTGTTAGGTTTTTTGGGTTTTTTGGTTTTTTTTTTCTTTTTTTTGGTGTTTATTTTTTTTCCTCATTTGAGGCAAGTCTCAAGCATCACTGCACTTTGAGGCCACTGGAAAAGCACCTCTGTTCTTTTGTATGTTATTCACAAACAGGTCTTTCATACATCCTTTAAAACATTATTTTCTGTACAATATGAGAGGTCACTGTTAGATTTTAACTTAAATTATTGATAAAGAATATGTTGTCTTGACTGCATGAGATACAATCTGAATTCTTTCTACCCAACTACCATAATTAGCTATAGCTAATGCAATCTCAAATTACATCTTCTCTGATACCAGACATTCTCTTCTTCCCAATTCATGTTAGTATATTTGCTACAATACTTTTCCTACTGCAATTTACAAATTTTCTAGAAAATATGATTATGTTAATTAAATTTATTCCTATTCTTTATCCAAGAACAAAGATACTAGAAGGACTAAAGGTATGTTGGTATCAAATCCCTTCGTTGTACATTGTCCTTACATGAAGGCTTAGAAGCTCCATCTTAAGCAGTACACCAACTTTGATCTGCCATCTCAAAAAAGGTATTGGTATTATTAGAAAAGGTCCAGAAAAGGATAATGACTAAAGGTAAATAACAGAATAAAGTGAGCAAATGATTACTATGGAAGAACAAAATAAAGAACTATAAAATCATGACATTATGAAGAAGGTGATAAGGGCGGATTTTCCACTATCTCCTTCAGTAAAAGCATGGGACATAAAAAAACATCTAGTCAGTAAGAAGCTTGGAACAAACAAAAGTAGTTATGTATTCATGCAGAAAATAGTGGATTTATGGAACTCCTGTCTGAAAGTCAGTGTTGAAAACACTAAACTTTTCTGTTACATTCAAGATGTGACTGGAAAAGTTGATGAAAAAGGTATCATTCAAGTTGACTAAATCCTTATCAGGAATCATAAATACAATGAGTATTATTTTTCACGTAATACAGTCTGTTTGGTAGGTCTCTCAGCCTTACATTTAGTGTCATGGTGACATCATACTGGCATCTTATAGTTATCCATTGATTAACTGCCACAGCAAGTACTTTTTTCAGATTATGAGATCAATGTTAATAATATAATTTCTTATTAGTTTTAAGTACATTATGTTGTAATTTTTACTATAATATTTAATTACATTTCCATTAAATCAGTTGTCGAAGACATCCACTTGTATCTGTCACACCATGATTTTCATCTATCTTAATAACAACTTCAAGCATTATGTCATATACGTTTCATTATGCAATCCTGATTTTTAAATGAAAATATTAAATAACTAATTATTCCTAAAACCAAATATTTAGAAGCTCCATTAATAAATTTCATCTATTATCATATCTCTCATTTCAATATTACATGCCATTACTGCCTCCTCTTGAACATGGACTTTTTTACACTCCGAACACCTCTTGCACTGTATAACTACCAAAGTACTGTGTCCAGCTGGAGAAGCAGCAGTGTAACAAATACTTGAAAATAGTGTCAACAGAGAGATCTGTTGTTTTTCCCTTTGTCATAAAGACACTTTTCTTGTCATATTGGTCTGCAATAGATACAGAGACCTTTAAATACCTGGAAGAGCAACTAACTTCAAAGGAATGAAATTATCAAGACAGAAATGAGCCTAACATCTATCTAGAACAAGGAAGTATCAGCAATCAAGAAGACAGTGGAACTGTCCCTGCATTGAAGTTACAGTAATGTTGCATGACTGAAGCGTACTTTTGTGCTCTCCTTTATTTAATGAAGAAAACTTGTTTCATTTGTATCTGGCAAATCTAGTTGATGAAACCTTTGCTAAGTGGCTGCACTGAGCCAGTATTGCAAAAAAAGCTTAGCTTTTACAACCAGTTTCTTTTTTCAGGCTTCATTACTAGGGAGACCACCATGGAGTACTATTCTGTAATGCAAATACTGCTTTGGGTCATTCTAGCTGTACAAAATTTGCCTGAGGAAAAGTTTATGTGTATTATTTATTCTTTCACTTTTTTGCAATTCCTGATCTATGCCTGGATCACATGATCTCTATAGGCCTCTCTCAGCTGAGGCTTCTTAGTGATTTTATGTAGCTAAGTGAAATACACAAAAACTAATCAGACAATGCTTTTCTTTGGTATAATGAGTTTTGCCATCTTACATTTTATATTGTTATAATTACTGATAAAAAGGTCATTCTGAAAGTATTCCATTTATTGGAAAAATAGTAACAAATACTATCTTCTTCAAGTTAATAAAAATGTTTCATTGCAATATACTGAGAAAGATTAAGATTAGAGTTCCAGTTAATTAAAGGCTAATGTTCGTGATGGCAAAGTATATGAAGCAATAAACAGATTCTGAGGTTCGTTAAATGCCAAAGAGAAGTTGAAGAGTTTGATAATTGCAAAACTAATTTATTGTAATTCTATGCCATTGAACTATGTAAGATAAAAGATGCAAGCCATTAAGCAAAAAAGAAAGACCATATTTCTTTCACTGATTCATGGGCATTGAAAGCTGTTTTACCAGGTTGCTTTCTTAAACTTTTCAGTGAAGGCACATTAGTAAAATGACTAAAACTTTTTTTGTTAAGCCAGGTTTAAATAGTGATTAATATTTGAAGACTGAATTTTGTTCATTCTCTGAGTGTCAAACTCCATGCACTCTCAGGGACCTAAACATGTCTGTGTAGGACAACTGGCCATTTTTGTGAAAACTAACACTAGTTTCATGAGCAGTTTAAGACAAACAAAAACTGGACTGATATCCTACTGTTCTTATATAACAATTCATGTATTATATTTTAAAAAAAAGAAAAATGATGTAATCAAATTTAATGGTTAAAGATTTTTCTTATTAACCCAGACTAACGCATTTAGAAGAAAGAAATTATTTCCAATTTTTGTCTGCCATGATTCTTACAAGAATAACGGAATTTAACCCTAGCCTTTTATATTTTCTCCACACAAAAAATATTTAATTAAATTTATTTTTGAAGCTACAGGAATCAAAAGTTATATGGCCACTCAACTGTCTTACTTAAAAAAGGCTTCCTTGAAAACATAATGCCGTATTATCACCTTGAAAAATTATATTTTCAAAATAAAACCATAAATATCCATTCTTTGTATTCAAAATAAAATATGCGTACAAAATTGCACTGCTTTCAAAGAATAGAATTTATTAATGCCTTCTGGCTCAGGGAGATGTAAAGGTGATGGCATTAAGGAAATGTTTGTGTAATCACTAACAAACTCTTTGTCTCATCCTCCTCTTGTACTGGTGTTAAACTTTGCTAATGCAGCACAGTTCAACTAGCAATCCACTTATTTCGCCATGGGAAAGATCATAATTCATTTCCTTGTGTACTGGTGCCAGAAGCTGTGGTCAAATGCTAATGTCAACCTCAAGCAAAAT